AGAGAAACGACAAAAAAGAAAAAAGGAAAAGAAAAACACAAACCTAATAAGAACAATAGAACTGGATAGGAAGACAACAATTTGAATTCACTGACATCCACATCCAGGGAAAAAAAAAGAGTTGCCTCTAATGTTAAGGACCAAAAAAGCTTGGTGACAAACCTTACGGCAACATATTTTGTGGCAGTGATTCTTAATAGGACAGTACACCCAAAATCGAAACTTTTGTCATTTAAGACTCCTCACACCAAAATGATAACTAAAAAGTTTTACTAATCGTTCTAATTCCATGAGAACAAGGAAGTCGTCACACCACAGTTACAACGATAACACAGTGAAACAATATCATTGGAAACACTTTTTTTTCCATCTGATGAATGATCAATCAGATACCAGCCAATGTAATGAGCTACAGCATTTAAAACATTAGATGAAATAACTGCAGCCCACACTTAATAAACAGCTATTATTTACAGCTATCATTCTTGGTGTGAACGAGCCTTTACTCATGTTGTTCCAAACCCATATTATTTTCTAGAGTAATGGCAGATGTCAACATTTTCACTAATGACTTCAATTTGTTTGTTTTGGCTTCAGACGGTTTAAAATATAAGGTTCGAGATGCATGGACTACTTCACGTCCTTTTTAAAGCTTGAAAGCCAGTCCACTACAGTTGTATGGAAAAGAGCAACCAGGCCGATCCTCAATTTCTCCTACTGAACGAATAAAGTAATACAGCAGGGCTCGACATAAGCAATGGCCCGATGGCCCGGGGCCAGTAAAAGAGTATGTCGGGCTAGTTGATTGGCCAGTCACTGGCCCGCGCGGGCCAGTGAATGGCCATCAGCAAAACAAACAGCAAACGTCATATACAGTGGCGCGAAGAGTGTCAATGTTACTTCAGGTTATAACGTGTTAAAATGTCAAAGAACTACGAGGCTGATATGAGAAAGAGGACATTCCTATAGGGCTGGACGGTAAATCGAGTTTGTACAATATATCGATTTTTTTTAAAACGATATGGAATGAGGCAATACTGTTTATATCGATACAGTAGCCTAGTTTGATACGAGCACATCTGAAAAATAGAGGAGTAGCCTACGCAGTGTGAGCTCCTGCAGTGAAAAAACATAGTACAATTTGTCCTGAACATGACACAAGCTTATATTAAGCACTTCAAAATAACTGGTAAGATATAGTTAACAAGTTTAAAGCAGCTTGCCCTGTCAGATGCTCTGACAGATGTTGCTGACTGACAGATAAATAGGCTACTTGCGCTGTTTAATGCGTTTGAGACGTGGTGCTTTCCTCAGTGCTTAACTTACATTTTACAGGTATATCCTCCATCTGTAAATGTTAGAAAGTCAAACAAATATGTCTATTTCACTGTCAGGAGAGGACGAGCTTCTGCAAGTGAATCTCCGCTAAAATTCAAGCTTCCGTGAACTAGCGCTGCCGCGAGCACGCGCGCCTAACAGACGAGCACAATTGAAGATTAGCGCAATAATTCTGACTAAAATATACATCTTGCTAAAATATTTGTTGTTGGAGACAATAAATGTGCCATATGTGGAATTTTAAACCTACAAGTAGGCCTATGTTTTTATGAAAGTGAGCATTATAACGGGGTAATCAAATGCAGGCTAGCTAATATAATTAGTTGTGCTTTTGTTTTTATTTTCATTTTTAGTTTAGCCTTAGTCATTTTAAAAACAAAAGCATTATTTTTGTTTTTTAGATTGTAATGTTAGAATGTAATGTGATTTTAACCTTTTTGCATGTAATATATTGCATAGCCTACATTACATTCACTGTATTTGTTTCCATATCCTTCAATATCAACATTGTTTGGATATCATTAAGCAGGATGTGAAATATTTTTTTTTTTAAATAAATACAGATTTTCTTTATCCAAATAGAAAAACGCAGAAAGTACCGAGATATATATCGTATATCGCCATTTAACCAAAAAATACCGAGATATGATTTTTTGGCCATATCGCCCAGTCCTAATTCCTAGTGTCATGGAAAACGCAGTAGGCCTTCACCTGGGTGGAGAAAGGCGATGAGGGCATGTACTGTTTGGTTGCCGGAAATTTACAACAAAAGCAGACCAAAATGCAAAATGCATAACCGGCCTGCCGAGTGCCGACGGGCTTTCTAAAAATAGTGTAATCAAATTCCCCCCTAAACTTCTGCCTAGCCCCCCTAAAAATGTGTGATTAAGTGTAAGCTACACAAATTTGTGTTCGCTTCAGTCTCGTTATAATCAGATTCAAAGCGTTCTTCATTTTTTCTTCATTGACAGTTTTTTAGGTCATAAATGTTAAACGTATGACAAAAATAATCAGGCAAACTAATATACTTTTGTCTAATTTCGCCATTTTGAAGTGAAAATATGTAACATTACCACTCATGTAATGTAATAATTAGTTTACTGTCATTGTGAGGGGACAAGAAAAATTAATCCTAATGTATACAATAAATACAGTTTAATAGAAAAGTACTTTTCATTCTATTTCTTTCAGGGCCAGTACAAATATAGAAGGGGCCAGCAAAACTCTGATCTACTGGCCCTAGGGGCCAGTGGGGATTTTTTTTTTATGTTGAGCCCTGCATACAGATTTGGGACAACATAAGCAAATCATTTTCATTTTTAACTTAACTATTCCTTTAATAGACTGAAAACAAAATCTCCCAATGCATGAATTCTAGTGCTAAAAACACGAACACTGCTCGTATTCATACAAAAATTACAGGATGTCTGCTACCAAGATGGTACAATGGGATTGATTGACAAATAATGAACAACAAGATAGTGAAAATGTGTTTTTGTTGTAATGACTATGCAAAAAACTATTTACCATTCCTTACCGCTCTGATACTTTTTACACACATACTGGTGACATTTGAACAATATATTACGTACGTACAGGTTGCCTAATGCAACCTTTTGTTGATCAATTCAATAATTAAAAAAGAAATAGGACATATCGAAGGTGCTTTGCAAACCCCTTTTAAGACAAAGGCTAATTGTGGTCTCGGGGTGAGCAGTGGATTGACCCCTTACCTAGCGCCTGCTCTCCGGTGGGGTGTCTTGTGAGATTATATATGGGGGAGCTTTTACTGTTCAAAACGGAGTCTATAAGGAAAGAGAGAGGTTTTAGTAAACTCATGTACACTGTGCCCACTTGCCAACTTAAAAGGGTGAATTTCATCTTACTTATAGCATGGGCTTTGAGATGTCTGTAAAACAGACTTGTAGAAGGTGGATAGACTAATTAACTTGTACATGCAGTACTGTACGTTACCGATTTACAATACATACATTAACGTACCTAACGTTGACAAATAAAGTAAACACACTGACTAGGAAGCCAAAAAAGCAGCATTCAATAAATGCTGAATGTGTATCCCATACGTTCTGACCAGGCATGAGGCCTTATATCTAATGTTGGGTTAAACTGTATTCAATAAGATGCGTGACTGTGATGCACCCTTTTTTCAAAAGCGAATTGTACCTGCAGTGCAACCAAACCTCGGTGTAAAACACGGAAACAGAGCGCTTCGTTTATATTGACGCGTGCAGCATTGAAGTGGATTCAGCTCATGGAGGACAATGTGAACGGGTTAACGCGTTTGCTCATGTAACGTTTCAGAAAGCGAGTAAGCGCATGCGTTTAGGTTATTATACTAGTAATAACCCGCTAAAAACAACCGTTCCAAGTAAATCCTAGCTGTCAGAAATGACATGGTCAGTCGAATATTATTAAATAATCACTGTGTTTCAAAAGAGACACGCAGCAGCAGGCCGGGAAGAAAATCCCGCTCTCAGTGCGCTAAGCTAGTTAGCCATAACCCTGTACATCTAGCTGTTTTAAATTACATCTCTATCCGGACACATTACTATATGCACATGAAATAATACCGTGTTTATATTAAGAGGGAAATTAAGCAAAATATTACATTTACCGCTGAAACAGCCACCGCCATTGAGCACACCTTCCAGCACTAACGTCCACACCGCGAGGAAGACTATAAAATCTCGCGATATCGAGAGAGCGCGTTAGGTAAGAGGCGCGCAGCTGCAGTGTGTGGCCGATCAGGCTTTGATTGGAGGAGGAGAGCCTCTGACTCGGACCTTAAAAAGTATAACTGTACGTTCGAGAGGCCAATAACACATAACTTTTCAGTTTTCTTATAATAATATGTGGCACCACTGATAAGACGATCCCAAAACCTGTTTTATAAAAGTAATTTTTGTCTGGACACGTAGGCCTACAAAACAAAAATGAACAAAACCAATAACAACAAAACTATTAAATATTTCCATCACCAAGAAAAAAAAAATTAACACACACTCTGAACAATTATTATTAATAAATATATTGTCTGGCATTAAGCAGCCTATTATATGATTTTCAGCACGGCAACAGTAAAATAAATTATGAAAAAAACAAAATTCATTAGGCCTAAACATCAAAAATGCATAAAAAACATTCTGTAATTAACTAATTGTATAAATGTAAAACTGTTAAAACACGTGACTTGACTTGCCCCTACACAACCCCCCCCCCCCCCCATATTATTCATATTAAGAATTAGGAATTTTAAATTAGTAAAGAACTAGAGCTTAATAAAACATTTTGTATAAAAGGGAATGGACCATTTAGTGTATGTGATTCATATTCATACATTTTAAAAATGAAAATGTTTAAATTTATTCAAGAAGATTTATTCAAAATGTTTTATTAAGCTCTATTTTTTAACTCATTTAAAATTCTTAATTCATAATATGAACAATATGTAAGGATTATTCAAATTATGGAATTTTACTATTAATTGAAATGTGTTAATCTTGAAAAAAGGCTTGTTTGTTTTGACTGTACCTGACCTGAAAATCCCCTTGTCCTCAGAGCACCATTAAATGTTTCAGTTAATATACATTCATTATATATTAGACCTTTTCTATGTATAAACATGAATAAATTCAGTCATATTAAAGTATTAATAATATATTTTAATGTTATAGTATTTCATGTCACAGTATACAACTTCATCACAAAAAAATAAAATAAAATTGCCCAAAACAGAAGTCTGGTTAATGCATTTGATTCAGATGAGAAAGGAGACCAGGAATTAGGAAGAGTACATTTTAAAAGCTGCTCACTGTACATTCATATATCTCTCGTATATACATACAAATGAATCACATTGCAAGACATTTGAGTCTTATAATAACACTGGGAAGATGGTGACTGTTTTTTTCTGACTGATGTTCTGAATCATTTGAATTTGCAAGAATAAATGGAGATTAGAAATCTCTTGCAATGGTTTTCTAAAGCTGCAATACATCCATGCCAATATAACAAAAATGACAAATGCTGTCAAAGCATTCTTTTCCTGACATGCATATATATCGTTAAGGGATATTGGGAAGTCAAAGCCATTGGAGAGCACAGTACTGAAAGCATCCCTAAAATAGATACTATTGCTCTGGACAGCATGGCAACATAGATGTTGTTTTCACAGAATATGCAAGTGTCAGTCAAATACAGGACAAGTTGTATTTGCAATGTAGTACCCATTCTTGCCATCACAGCACCCAGTACATATTTGGCTTTGACATGGTTCAAGTTCTCATTTGCATGTAGAATACATAGAAAGTAGTGTATCATTCATTTTACATGACATAAAATATACACATACTGTGGTAATATGTAAATGCCTAATATAATAACAGCCCTTCATACCCAAAGGAGGGATTTATTAAAGCAAACCTTTGTTTCAGTCAATGGTCAGTTTATTGTATGTTATCATAATGCATTAATCAGTATGAGACAAAGAAACAGATAAATGTTAAACACCTCTGAGCAGTCAGCTGATCTAAGATCAGCTCATATTCACATTAAGAAGGCAAATAAAAATCCCATGATAACACTGTTATTAATGAACAGGACCCCTGTGTTAGTGAACCTATTATTAGCTGCTCAAAATGCTTTTAGGATTTATTGTTTGAGTTTGTATCAGTCGCTTTGTTTAAAAGCGTCTGCTAAATGAATAAAAGTAAATGGATTTGGAGTTCTACTCAGTTTTTTTTCTTGGTAAAAGTCATCTGGATGAAGTGCTCTTCTGCTTTATTGATTAAAAATGAGGAAATATCAGATCGAACTTCACTTAGGCTGCATTTATTTGATCAAAGATAAAGTAAAAACAGTAATATTGTGAAATATTATTGTTATATATTTTAAAACATCATTTATTCCTGTGATGGCAAAGCTGAATGCTCAAGATTTCTTATTTGGTGCTCAAGTAACATTTCTTATTATTATATTGTTGAAAACAGTTGTGCTTCTTGATATTTGTGTGTAAACTGTGAATTTCTTTTTCAGGATTCTTGAATAGAAAGTTCAAAAGAACAGCATTTATTTCATATGTAACAATGCAAGTCTTTACTGTCATTTTTGATCAGTTTAATGCATCCTTGTGGAATAAAAGTATTAATTTCTTTCATAACATAAAAATCTCACTGACCCCAAACTTTAAAACGGTAGTATACCATTCTAGGATAGCATTATTGCCACGGTTTACAAATATTTGCAAAGTTCATTACCGTCTGCATGAGTAAAGCTATTGAGATCACCATAGTGTCACGGAAGCAATTCAGAACAGAGACATTCTAAACTCTGTATGTATAAATCACTCCACATATTAAGAGCAAGAAATGAAGTTGAGGGTCTGAAAAAAATGTTGAAAAAGAAATATAATTATAACAAGAGCACTTGTCATTGTACCGTACATTCGTTTGCTCAAAGTCAGCCTGTTAAAGCATACAGAATAAGACAATATAGAAATGTAGAATTAAACATTTTGATACATTTTCCTTTTAAACATGTATACCAAGACCGTGTATTACTTGTTTAAAATAATAAATAATACATTTAAGTCTAGAACAAACGTACTCCAATCATACTGCCTGATGGGAAGCAGCAAACATTTCTTAGACACTTAGCCTCCTCCCTCAGGTTCCCAAAGCTCTGTCAACCTAAAATCATCAGTTTGTGTGAAACTTTTTCCTTTGCTAGATGTGGATGGATAATGCCATAGACACGATGACTTGGAGAGATGTTTTTAAAAATCCGTTAATTCGTCTTTAAAAAAAAAAATTTCACAACCCAAAATGCTGGCACTGAAGGCAGAATCTCTGCAAGTAATGGAAATGTATTTCTTCGTCATGGTAAAATGACATCAGTAATTTAAACTTCAAGATTTAAGTAAACAGTTCGAGCTCTTTGGAGTTTGTGCAGGTATCATGCTGTGTGACGAGCTTTCTCCCCAGGCCCATCGCTTATTCTCAAGCCATCTTGTCATGACCTTCATTGTGTAATGTTGCATTTTGGTCTTATTTCCCTCTAGTCAGTCTGGATCTTTTGCTCTCTCTTTTTCTCAAGCTCTGGCCCAGTCTTCAAGCACTGTCTGTCTATTTTAGGACCAGCTGGGCTTAGTACATCACAGCCATGGCAGTAGGGGAGGTGGACGTCCCTGACCAGTGCTTACATAATGCATCCTCAAGAAAACATGCCAACTTTTCGCAGTCTTCCTGCAGGACACAAAAACCAGACAATCACATTCACACATAAAACAAAACTACATGAGCTATGTTTTTCATTCCTTGCCACAGATGACTTTGAATTGCACACTAGGGGACTAAAAAATGTAACGTATAAGTATTATGCCACGACTTTAAATTAATTCCTCAGATAAACTGCTAAGGGGTGGGTGCATGGGCGGCGCTAGGGAGGGGCTAGCAGGTGCTTCAGCACCCCCAAGAAAGACCAAAGCACCCCGATAGCACCCCCCAAAATAATATCTGGAATAAATTATATTCAAATATATGTTATTTCGAGATATTAAGTCGTTATTTCAAAATAATATCTCGGTATTTCGACATAATAACGGCAAATTTTTGTCCCGCCAAAGCCTTTTTTGATCGTTGAGTGATGTAGAATAGAATGACTGCTGCGCTTGACAGGGCGCATCACGAGCAGAGAGAGAGACCCCCGGCCGCGCGCACTCTCACGTCTTCAAACACTTCTCGCGCATATTAATCAAAATCAATTGACACGATAGTAAAAGGTCGGAAGACCGCAGTTTCACGTGGAGCATTTGGAGATTTGTTCTCCTGAATTACCGCGGTGTGTGAATTGTGCTAAAAAAAACCACGTTGCCTAGCTGATCTCTAAAAAGCGTTCCGCCCGTTCAGCTGACCTAAACCACATTTCAATAAACGAAAAAACCTATCCAGTGATATGTTTTCTGTATTGACGCAAATCTTGCGATGTCCAAACTGCCGAGATAATCACACAAGCGTGCAGTAGACGTCCACTAATGACACGTCCCATACGCAAACGAATGACTCATTTTAACCATTCACTTTAATAGATAGTTAAAACAACTGACATGTCCAACACTGAACTCACGAGACCTGTGGTGTATTTAGTATTGTTTGGTTATTAAAGTACACAGCAAGACCTTTGAATCGGTGTATAAAAAATTGGTAACACTTAATTAAATCAGTTAACATTTACTATTAATTAACTGCATTTCAGCATTGTTAAGGTTAACTTTCAATATTTAGAGAGTCAGGCCCACTATATGTGTGTTGTAGCCATTAAATAAGCGCATTTAATTTCATTTTTGTTAAAATATTATAATGTTTGTTTGTTTGTTTTTTTACATCTATGCTGATTATGAAAATTGAACAGCATGAGTAAGATGCGCGATATATCGGAAGATATGATGGGTCAGACATGATTTTTTTTTACCACTAAATTTACATTTACACATTTACATTTAGTCATTTATTTTAGCAGACGCTTTTATCCAAAGCAACTCAACTGAGGACTAAACCAAGTGAGTCATCGTGAAAAGACAAAAACAATGCAAGAAGTGCTCAAAATACCAAGTTCGGACATTGCTTATGAGTAGCATAAGCCAGACAAGCGAGGATTTAAAGGAAAAGGATTGTTATTTTTTTGTTTTATGTTAAGTATAAATTAGGTTTTGTTTTGTAGAAAGCCTTTTTAAAGTGAATTTCGTTTTGTATAAATTGTATCTTAATTTTAATCAATTTTTCATCAACCAATTGATATAAGAAGCAAATATAGCAGACAATATGATAAAGATAAGGAGGCGCGGGCGCGGGCGCGATTGCATTGCACGTGAACTGGAGCACATCTCATCATAAATTTTGCTCATTTAAATAATAGTGTGTGTGTGTGTGTGTGTATATATATATATTAGGGGTGGAACGGTACATGTATTCGTATTGAACCGAAACGGTACGGGCGTCACGGTTCGGTGCACGAATTTGCACGTAGAATACACGGTACAAAAAAAAAAAAAAAACTCTTAAATAGCGATAAATTTCGCTCTATTCGCTTTTGGTGTGACTGTTAACGCAGCAATGAACAGGCTGCGATCAAGATTGCAATGCAGGAGTGTGTGTGTCTGTGTGCGCGCGAGAGAGAGAGAGAGAGAGAGAGAGAGAGGCGCGATGAACAGTGTGTGTGTGTGTGCGAGAGAGAGAGAGGCGCGATCGAACAGTGTGTGTGTGTGTGCGCGCGCGTGCGAGAGAGAGAGAGGCGCGGGCGCGAATCGCGCGATGAACAGTGTGTGTGTGTGTGTGTGCGCGCGCGCGCGAGAGAGAGGCGCGGGCGCGAATCGCGCGATGAACAGTGTGTGTGTGTTTGTGTGCGCGCGCGTGCGAGAGAGAGAGAGAGGCGCGGGCGCGAATCGCGCGATGAACAGTGTGTGTGTGTGTGTGTGTGTGTGTGTGTGTGTGTGTGTGTGAGAGAGAGAGGCACGGGCGATCGAACAGTGGAAACGTAAAAACATACTCCGTCATTTTTTTCATACAGGACATCATTAAAACTGCAAATTGTTTACTTATATTTGTGTACACTGGAAATAAAACACAACATTGTGCTTTTGTCACACTCTAAACTCTTGTCAAACTGTAACCTACAACTGTTAACAAAAGTTTTTATGGTAGTATTATTTTATACGGAAATCAATTATTTATAATTCAGATGAGAATAAAGTTAGTTAATTAAAATGAAGGAAAACAAATATCTTGATCTGAAATAGCAAATTAATTTTAAATTCATTCAGGTACAATTACCAAACATATCTCAAGGTCTTTTCGTCTTTTTAATAAGTTAATTAATAAACTTATTATATAAAACTACTGTCAGTGCACTACAAATAAACAGGTTCTATGCCTTTATTAATAAAACTTATTTAAAAAAATACAAGGTTTAAGACATTTATAAAAATGCCTTCTGCATTTTTGCTTTGCTTTTCACTCCATTGTACCGAAATCGTACCGAACCGTGATGTCTGAACCGAGGTATGAACCGAACCGTGACTTCTGTGTACCGTTCCACCCCTAATATATATATATATATATATATATATATATATATATATATATATATATAGGCTAATTGCGCAGCTCCCCCTGTCAATGATCTAGCACCCCCTCAGCACCTGCGTTAAAAATTATCTGGCGCCGCCCCTGGGTGGGTGATATGTTCCAAATTTGAACCTTTTCATTTATATTCATCTTCTTTTTTTACCATGGCAGTGATGCACATCTTCAAATAGTAATTAGGCTTGTCACTACACCAATATGTTATAAATTAAAACAAAACCTTAAAGGCTTCATAATCCTCTATATCACCACATCACAAATTCCAAACTTCCAAATTCCATTTCAAACTCCAACATACAATTAGTATATCCAAATTGACTCACATACAGTACAATTACGTAAAGCAATATATCGCAAATCTGCTTGTTTATATCGTCACAAAATGTAAACCATACTGGTGAAATATTTAAAGTTGGATATATAATGCATCCAACTTTTACCTACTTATTATACAATACACTCATGTAGAGGAAATATAACAAATCCCAACCGCCTGATTGTTTAGATCATTCTTAGGTGGGTAGATGCAGTCAGTATGGACTGTACAAAATACAATGAGACTTAGAGGTGAGTGGGGCAGCTTTATCTGTGCTGATGAGTCAAATATTGAGGCTAATTTGTTCTGTTAATTTTGTATTGTTATTGTGTTAGTATTGTATTTTATTTTATTATTACTGGTAGACAGATGACAGCTTCGGTTTTCGGTAGCTAATCGTCATACACTACGATATGAGTTCTAAAATCAGCTCACAATATCAAACATGTTTTGATATCTGCCAACTGGATGGAATCATAATCTGAAGCTAAAAAGATTGAGTCTGTGCCCATCATACACTATGTGATTTTCTGTGAAATTTGTCAACTCCAACTGCCCAAAACTATTGTCAACTTATATCGACTGCAAATCGGGGAAAAAATTTGAACAAAAAGTAGTCTAGCGTATTCCAGCCTAAGGTAAATAATAAAGCCTGATGGTTAGAAGAACTCATGCTTACCTCACTGATGAAAGCATGGTGAACCAACTCACTAGCCAAATCTTTGGGACTGTCAGCTGTGGAAAAACAAACAAGCAAAACAAAACATATATATATATATATATATATAATAAAAAATAGATATGAAAAAGGGGATATTTTAAAAGAATAAATAAAATATATAATATATATATACACACACACACTCATTTTCATTTATTCTTTAATTTATTAACTTAAATACTTCTATTTATACAATTTTTAAATTGCACAATAATTACTTGCCTAAACTATTTTAGAAAAGAAAAAAATGCACCAAGAACACATTTGAATGTGATAATTACTTACATGGCAAAACATCACAGCTAAGCTGACGGTGAAGTCTGTCATCCATCTTTAAAAAGAGAGAGAGCTACAGAGAAAGAAAGGATAGATTATGCACAATATTTACAGAACCCAAGTAAAACTACAAGGCAAAATGTTTTTTTAACTCACATGACTCCTTGTGCCTTCCTCATTTGATTCCAGATTACATTGGATCTGTACAACCTGTATGAAAAAAAGCCAAACACACCAGGTATTTTAAGAGGACAGTATTACTAATAACTAATAGAAAGTAACTAAAATACTGTTTGTACATGGATGAGATGCATTGATCACCATTTCTGGGAAATGTTTAAACAAATGTCAGCTTTTTCAAATTGACCCTTGCTCATCATCAGTGTCATAACTGGACACACTTCCCATAAGTCACCCAAACATTTGTTGGCTAATATTTTGCTTCAAAAAATACAACACAGCATTTCAAATGAACTGTAAATCTGTTTAGTGTTTTTTTTTTTTTTTTTTTTTAACACAAAGGAACTGATTCACTAACATATTCAGACTTCCTAAAGCTTCATATGAGGCATAGCATCACTACTTGTGGTTAGTTACTCCCAACACTGCTTCTAACATAAACCTTCTTCTAACCTTTCTGGTTTCAGTCTCCTGTGGTTCTGGGGTTGGGGTCTTCACAGTCTCCATCTGTTCCTGCGACAAAGAAAGAGCGCGGGGGATAGGATGTGGCCGCTGGGAAGCAAAGTTCATCAGGGGATATATGCCATTTCTGTTCATGCAGAAGAGGAAAGGTTTCAAATCCACAAGCATGGAAACAAACACAGTCTAAATCAAGGATCAGCTGATCTTCTCTATGACTCACTTTACATCCTCAAGAAATTTGTCCAGTTCCAGGGGTGATACGTGAGAATACCTTGAAAACAAAAAAAGGGAAAAAAAAATGTCTAAACTTGGGAAACAATCACAGAGGAGAACCAGACACTTCACATTTTGTTTGAGAAACTCACTTTAGATGGACTCCAGGTCGGTCACGATGATTAATCTCTGCCATGATACCATTAGGGTCAAAAGATTTGGTCTTCTCTTCTACACAATTCTCAGGAAGGAGATCTGGTAGAAATAAAAAAAAGTTTAAGACTTAAACCACAGAGGAATGGAACAACAATTCCCTGTTGGATGATTGGGCCATTCATAACGTTTCTGTTATTTCTGAGATCAAAATTAAAGCATTATTACAGTATGGTTTCAGGAAGGCATGAACAACAGTGTTTTTTACATGTTCCACTTACACTGGTTATTGATAAAGCAATGCGCAGCAAGCAGTTTTAAGGAGTGGACCTCAAATAACACTCTGTGGAACAGCAGGTCATGAGCCGTGGGTCTCGACTTGGCTTCTGTGCGTACACACGACTGGATAAATTCCTGTCAGTGTGAAGAGATAAAGGCATTCAATTAAACAAAAAGAATTAAGCAGAGCTGTTTTAGTTATAAACATGGGCTTAAAGTCTTTTACTCTCATGAGAGGGTCCTCAAGTGACTGTCCAGCATGATCAACGGCCTCTTTCAAAACTGCAGAGTCTCCATTGGCCTGGATTTCCAATACTGCCATCTAAAGGAGAATGTGGAATACAACATTAAAGGTCATAAATCAGTGTTGATTAAATAGTATTATTTATATATTTATTATTTTAATTTTCAGACCTCCAAGGCACAGATACCAAATGAAAATATATCGATGGCATAGTCATCTTCAGCAACTGGAGAAGAAGAAATATATTAATGTAAAATTCTTTATTACAAATTATAAGCAAAACAACTTTTCTTTGTTGAACAAAAAAAAAAAATTATTTTCTAGGTTTAAATGAAACATTTCCAGATTGCAAAAGGTGTAAAAATGCTAAAGGCATCAGATACTTACTTCCATACTCTGGAGCAAAAAAATGCTGGTTCCGCATTTCATCTCGATGTTGATGCACATTCCCATGAATCGCCTCAGCAAATACTAAGGGAAACGGAGACACAACATTAAAATTAAACTCTATTTATAACATTATATGGATGGAAGAATTTTAGCCAGTAAACATAAATAGATAAAATGTCTAGCACATGGGCTAGAGTCCAAAATAAATACTCTGAAGGGGGATGTGGGTCTTATTTTCTTTCTTTATGTCTCAGATTGTCAAAGCTGACAAGAAAAGTTACAGTGCGTTACACAACTGCCAGGATTTTGGGCCAATATACGCAAAGCATTGTTTAAGGAAGGAAGGAAAGAAACAGTCTAAGTATGGCCTGTGTTTTCTTTCTGATGAGATAACCACATTCCTGTGCACATGGCATATGGAGCTCACAGTGGACTCACCATTTACAAACAGCCTGTGCCAAACTGAAAGAAAGAAGAGACATAAACATCTATGTTAGAGATGATCAAAAGTCAAATAATTTTGAGCTCAAAGGGATAGTTCACCCAAAAATGAAAACTATGTCATTAATCATGTCGTTCTAAACCCGTAAGCCTAAATTAAATCTGTTCATCATATAAAGCGATCGCGTCTCTTCAAAAAATTTGGACTAAACCGCTCAATTCTTTCTACGATTAGTTCTACGGTCCCTTTATAAACTTTTTGAAGCATCAAAGTGGTAGTTGCGTAGCTGTCAATGGAGAGTACGGAAAGCTCGCAGATTTCATCAAAAAGAAAAAAAAAAATCTTCATTTGTATTACGAAGAAGAATAAATGTCTTACGGGTTTGGAACGACACGAGGGTGAGTAGATGACAGAATTGTCATTTTTGGGTGAACTAACCCTTTAAATAAAAGGTAAAAGACTACTGTCAAACCTGAGCCGATCTTTATGAGGCCGTTGTGCTGAATAAAGATGGTGTCACAGGTCAGGTTACCGTGGATAATGGGCGGGTCACATGAATGTAAGTAACTAAAGAACGAAAGGATAAAACTTCAGTACCCACAAATTACCCACACTAAAAAAAAAAGTGTTTAAAAAATAATAAATTAATTTTTCCATTCAAATGAACCTTTTACACATCAAACTATTTCTCTCATTATAATTTTATTGTAAATATAAATAAATGTAAATTTTATATAAAAGTGGCAAAAAATTGAAAATTGAAGAAAAAAAGCCCAAAACAAACATTTATAATTTAAAAAAAAAAAAGTTTTTCTTTATTTCTAATAAAATTATATAGAGACAAATTATTATTTATAAGAGAATCAAAATTGTACTGGTTTAAAAGCTGAAGTGTGTAACTTCGAGCGCCATGAAACTTTTCCCTCAAACACTCCCCTCATCTGCCATTGGCCAATCAAACAGACAGCCCCGCCCCCAAACTGCCACCATTGGTTGAGTCAGTGTTGCTATGCTAGAATGTTCAAGATGCTCAAACAAACAAGCAATGTTTTGATAGCCACAGAGCCACCGTGTTTACACTTTTGTACAAATCAAACAACATAAAACTGTCTCTATTTATTAAGCTGGGAAAATATTTTTAGTTTACCTACACACTTCAGCTTTCACAGCAAATTTACAGATGATTTTCAGAGATAATATTGAATTCTCAATGTCCTACCTAAGTGCAGAAAGTATCTGCGTGCACCAACGCTTCCATGCCTGAGACACACAGAAAGTACCAGTGTGTTAAGTGTTTGTCATATTTCTGCCAGAAGGTGGTGTAGTCCTCCAGCTTTTCTGCATGAAGGGTTTTCACTTTCAATGTTCGATGAAACGTCTCACCTTCACATTCATAGTTTTGTGGTTTTTCTTTGTCTTCTTCAAAAACTGCTTGAGACTTCCAGATGACATATATTCAGTGATAAAAATCACCTGTGCGGCACGAAAAGAAAGAAGACGTGAATGTCTGAATTCAGGGCAAAGTTCACAGAAGCGTTTGTTTTTATCAGGTGTGTTTTGAGACTCACCCTCGCTCTGCTCTCTCTCATGTCCAGCCAGTACTTGTGAAATTTTACGATGTTCGGATGCTCCACCTGCATAAGGTTCTCAAACATCTCTCGTATCCGCTCCTGCATAACACAAAGTACATACACACTTGGTTTTACATTTCAAGCATTTTGTCTGTCACTGTACCACCATTCCAGAATGATGACGCTCCAATACAGTAACATTTCACAGATGTTTGTGGTGTAGCATGCCAAGTATCCCTCCCAGAATACTGATGTTGGAAAACAAGCATGGTCCTACCTCAAAGGACTTGAAAACCTTCTTGTCTGAAAACTGCACTTCATTCCACACCACCTCCACCCCCTCTTCAGTGTCCATGGCCAAGTACGCACTCTCAATGCCTGGGACATTTCCCTGACTGACCTAAACCAGAGAGAGAGAAAAGAGTGGAAAGAGAGTTTTAGTGCTGCCAAGTTCATACAAAGTACCATTTAGCCAGTGATATCTGCAATATTTACTTCATATTGCACAACTTTCTACAATGTTTGCAAATGTGATATTTTAGTATCACCTTCTAGGTATTGTAAGTACAGGAAATTAGTATTTCTGTGAAAGAACACCCCCTTCTCCACCCCCCTGCTCCACAACTCTCCCATGGTGCAAGTTGTGGTTTGGGCTGTGATGGTCGAGAATGAAAACACAGACTTTGAATGGCCTGTAAATTCTTGTCCGTTTTGGTCTTTGTAATGCTGTAAATGAAGCTCACAAAACAGAAGAGGGCACACTGCTGTTTGCTCCTCAAACACCTCAAGTCTCCACCTTTTTTGGACAGAACCAAACCTTTTATTATCACAACTGTCTAAAGGAAAACAAACGGTCCAGGGTTTTCATATTTTGATTTTCTATATTTATAGCCTGAATTTGCTCCCCTCCTGCTGATCATTGAACACAAGTTATGTGTTTTGGAGACAGACACAACATGATCCATCCAGTCACGCTGAGATACAGCTGCCCTCTAAAAGGCCTTGGTTTGGATTTAACTATCTCAGATTTAAAAACATGACTACAAATTGATAATACCGTTTGGTAGGTTTCAACAAATAGCTTTTTCATTTGTCAGGGCATTCAGGAAAAACAAAATAGGAGTAGAATAATCTGTACATGTTAGAGAGTCATTATAATGGAATGTACTACGCTAAATAGTATCAAGTAGCAATTCAAGCTCAGACAATGTAATTGGTAAAAATGGTAAACTCCATTTATATAGCGCTTTCACAGACCCAATGGCCACCAAAGCGCTTTACATATTGCCTCACATTCACCCATTCACTCACTCATTCATACACCGACGGCGGTGTCAGCCATGCAAGGTGCCATCCAGCTCGCTGGGAGCAGCTGGGGTTAGGTGTCTTGCTCATGGACACCTCGACACTTGGTCAGGTGGAACCGGGGATTGAACCACCAACCTTCCGGTTTGTAGACAACCTACATGAACCACTGAGCCACTTGCATTGACTGCATTGACTGTCACTCGCCAGTCACCATTGTGTTCCAGGCTCAGAGGTTAAATAGTGACCATTAAAAAGACAACCTCAGGGCAACAGTAAAAACAGAACTTTTACTGATAATGGCAGAGCACAGAAAAGTTGGGTTATGTAAGGCAGAGAACACAAGGACACCAAAAACATGTCCAAATACATTTGGAGTTAATTAATTCCCTAGATACTGCACAAACAGACAAGGAATGTCTTTGAAAACAAATAAAAAAAACTTTCAAGTTCCTTCTACCCAGCTGGCGACTACAAATTATGGGCAATCAAAGGCGGCTGACCCTGGATAAGTATTGTACCTCAGCGTGCTCCAGTGACGTATATATAATGTTACTAGGATTTATCAAATTATGGTCTATTAGCCATGGCGCATTTTAAATCAATGTTTAAAATGCAGTATGCATATGGGTTGTTGACATGAGGTCTACTTTAGCATGCCCTAAAACTATTGCAATGTTCTAAAACTATTTCATTTAGGACCTTTTTTTTAAGTCCAATTTTATACAGAACCAGTTCCAAAAAAAAAGGGAATGGAACGACGTCCAGTTCTGCGGCACAACGCCACTACTGAATCTAGTGTGAAACATTGGCTGCGTCCGAGAACTGATAAATGCTGCCTTCAGAGGATGCATTCCAAGATCGGAAGGCATCAAGGCACGTCCGAATGCAATGTTAGTTTCACTTCCTGTCTTCTGAGATACCTCCATCTGATCGATTTTTGAAGGCAGCATAAATGTATCCCTCGCTGCCTTTGACTTTCCAGAATCCTGTGCTTCCATTCTGTGACAGTTGAGCTAGAAAAATAAAGATGGCGTCTGAAAGTTGCGGCTGGTCGTCAGTTTGTGTGTAATGTAAATGTACATAATATTTGATCAACGTTTTTCACTTGTGTCATTTCTAGCAAGAAATGACTATTTTAGTCATTAAATATTCACTTAGTTTTCTCCAAAGCTCGCTCTATTTTGCTGTAGATCATTAAACCATTACGCTACCCCAGAACGCTGTCCGAAATCAGTTTCGTGAGGTACCTTCGTGCGCAAACACTGCCTGCAAAGTCATTGACTGATAGGCCAGCGAGGCAACAAGTCAGCTGCCTAAGCTTTCGGACGCAGCCCTCAAGTGACCAAACAAAGTCTGATTCCCGAACACATGGCTCTTATGAGTCGATTCTTTTAAGTTAATCAAAAACATACAGTGAAATCAGTGTAAACCGATTCCCAAACGAATGACTCTAATGAACAGATTCTTTTAAGTGACTCAAAAACATACACTATGACCAGTTTAATCCGATTCCTGGACAAATGATTCTTGAGTTGGTTGTTTATAAAAAAATAAAAATAAACTTCTAATGTAATCCAATTGCCAAACAAATTACTTTTATGCACAGATTCTTTTAGATTAATCAATATCAAACTTTGTGATTAGTGTACTCCAACTGAACAAAAGACTCATGAGTCAAAACACAGTGTGACCAGTGTAATCAGATTCTAGAATGAATGATTCTTATAAAGCAGTTTTTTTTAAGTGAATCAACAACATACATTGTGACCAGTGTAATTCGATTACTGAACGAATAACTTATAAGCCAGTTCTTTTTATAGCCAATCAAGAACTTGCAGCACAGACAAAAAAATCTAGTGGAATGCGTCAAACTATACCCACAAATAATATAAACCAGTAAAACCACTGTCAAAATGTAGTTGTGGTGTTAAGTTCTGGGTTTGGGGTCTGTCTTGTCTGAAGTTTATAAAGAATGTTTTGAGAATCTGTTTTTGGAAACTTTACCAAATATCAGGAAACACTGTGCCCCCCAAAAAAGCTGATATAAATCTCACACCCAGTGCTTTTAAAATCCTTCCTGACATGAACCCACATAAAAGCTTTTCCAATAAAAACAAAAACATTACGATCTTCATTTCCTGCCCTTTCATCCCCTAACCTGCATCTGTCACAGATACATTTCCAGCTGTATTACCTCTTCTTGCATAAATTATGTAAGAAATCTAATAAGTTGTTCTGTGGAACCACTTTCATCTCTGGAAACCTGACCCTGAATGCTCAATTTTCTCTTCTACATCCTATTAAACATCTGAGGATTAACAGAGAGAAAATGTGAATGGCTTGCATGCATACCTGAATGAATCGGAGCTTTATATCCAGGTACAGCTTTTCAGATATACAATTATCATAAAAAATGGTGCTTCAATTCAGCACACTAACCCCAGATGCATACTGGGCCCCATAGACAGGACTTAACGTTTTGTCTGGGTACAAAGGAGAGCCTCACTCTGTGGCGTCAGGTCACCTTTCTCCATCAAAAAGGTAGCCATCCCATAGAGCACTGATTTTAACTGACATACAGGAGACAATTAGCCTGGGAAAACCCAGACAACATCCGGCAAATTTAGATTTGCTCTGAAAGTTAGTCTGGCAAAGAGCTCATTCAAACCCATTTCCAATCCGTCGAAATCGAGGCACCAATCAGAAACGTTGGGGCGGGCTTTACACGATGACGACAGCGCTGGGATTTTGAAGCAGATTTTGTAGCCTACATTACAAAGATGGATGCCACCGTCGAACATCACTCGTTCGAATCAGCTATCGCGTCTGTTTTAAGCGATTTGAACGTTTCCTTTTTGTTAAAAGCCGAGCAAAGAACAACACACGGAAGATGTTTCTCCGCCGCTCTGTATACGTCATTTCCTTCATCGCTCTGATTGGTTTTAGGTCTATCCGCGACGTCCGTTGGTGACGCCCCTCTGGAAATGATTTGTCTATGACGCTTTGCCAGACCATAACTCAGTTACAACTGAGAATGGTCTGGTTTTAACCAGGTTAGGAGACAATCATGTCTGTACTGTAATTTTGGAACAAAATGGTTTGTGTAACACTCTTAGCTGGAGAGAGACCCATTCCAGATGATCCAGATGTGAAAACAAGCAATCCTTGTTAGCTAAAGTGCCAGTGTCACTCAAGACCACCAAACAGCCTGAGGGGACCACCTACTCAGGGGTCTAGGGGCGGAGATGAACACATTGCATGACACGACATGAAAGACATACAGACCTGCTGTTCTGCATTTTTGTGGTAAAGCTTTCCAAGAATTGAGGAGTTGCCTAAGATGAGCAGAAATGTCCTCTATTTAAATGGAAAACAAGGCACTTTGACCTGCAGCGTGTTTGATGCTATCAATTTATGAGCTGACAGAAACATTTAGAAATGGCCTAAATAGATAGTCTAAGAACCATTGCATTAGCATAGCATATATTTTATTATTTAATGGAACTGTTGTGCGATCAAGACCTGTCTGGAACCACTTTAGCCGTGCGTTTTCCTGAAAATAATTGCACACCTTAGAATGTCCGTCAACCAATCAGAATCAAGCATTCAACTGCCCCATAGTAAAAACGCATGACAAATTTTTAAGATGTACAGAACTATTTAAAACTTTTTTTTTACAACATTTCTATTATACATTTATAAATAGAAATGTTAAATTATAAAATATTATAGAAATTATAAAATATGCATTATGAAATATCACGTTATTATAAATGTTCTATTCATCAAAGAATCCTAAAATTGACTGACAGAGAACTACTTTTATATGCAAGCTAGACACATTATAACTGAAATATACAAATCAAATTGACTCAAGAAAGAGCTGTCGATTAATTAATCGCCCAATTAATTAATAAACAACACAATTACTAACAGTTTACCAATGTGCAATGTAGAGCTGCACGATCACAATCTCAATTCAAAAACCTACACGATCTTATTCCTAAACCACAACGATTCAGCTATCTAAACCTTTGATAAGTTTGATCACTGCGAAACATTCAAATCTGCGTTCGCACTGCCGCTGACACAGAGAGAGCAGTTGCCATGTATAGATCTTAGTCAGGTTAGCTGCCATATTGAATTTAACCAATAGCACGCAATGTATAAAGGTCAGATTTTTAAACTTTTCACAACTCAACTTTTAAAAAAATGTGTATACTGAAAGTAATTTTTCAGAAAGACCTTTCATCAGCTGAACAGTCGGAATGTTGTTAAACAACAGTACAATCCATTGAATGCACTTCATTCTGTCCCTCACAGCCTCGTTTTCATTCCTGTCAAAAAAGAAAAATGGCACTACCCTGACTAAGGTCTATGGGTATGACACAGCTTAACAGACTTAAAAAAAAAAAGTCTTTTCAACCACACAGTATCATTATTACAATAATTCAAATTATCACATTAGTAATGGGATAAAAGTTTACAGTTAGGATATAAACACTGATGTCTACGGTAGCAAATCTACCTTTTGAAAGTAACGTGACACTACAAATAAAGATTGCATCAATTGCATCATTACACCAGTAGTTGGTGAAGGCTGGCTGTTAAAAACGCACTTGTCCAGAAGGAACCTTTTTGCATTCTAAAGTTGTGTCCTAAAATTAAGGTGTTTTGGGTGCAAGTATGTGATATAATATCACATATTCATGGAATTGATTATCCAGTGGATCCAGAGGTGTGTTTATAAGATAATTTTACCGACTCTAACCTCCCACATAGTTCAAGCTATTAAGCTTGCTGAAATGTTGTTGATAAGAGCTAAAAGATAAGTGCATTGCATTAAAATGGAAACAAGACATTGATGTGCTAGAGATCACATATTCAATGAGGGGCAGAGGTGAATTTTTATAAAATCTAGAAAAACCTTTTTGAATTCTATTTAAAAAATTGACACATGATTGATTTTCAATCAATTGATTTGGATTTTCTAACTGTTGATTTTAGATCTCATTTGTTGATGATCTAACTGTTGATTTTCAGTAAATTTTCTAACTTTTATATTGTAGCCTATGATATCTCCCTTTTTTGTGTGTATGTGTTTTTCCTTTGTGTCTTGTCTGACGTTCGTTGGTATTATTGTTATATTTATAAAAAAAGAAGAAGCTATTTTAAAAAAATTGTCATTGAATCGTTCAAGAGGTTTGTTTAAAAACGCTGATTCATCCAGTAATGAAAAAAGAAGTCTTCAGGATTGAGTCATCTTTAATTCAAACAGATTTTTTAAAATAATTAATATACATTAATTAAATATTTTAAATAGACTGCAGCAATTAAAAATTTGTCAGAACCTCTAGTAAATTACATGTTATTTTGTTCAATTGTCTATTCAGAATCATGGGAGATTTTAAACGAAAAATCACGATTCTCAATTTATCCAGAATTGTGCAGCTCTAGTGCAGTGTGAAACCTTTTTGAAAATCTTACAAGGATTAATTGGTAACCCAGGGTTTATATGAATGAACAGCAAAAAAAAAAATGGAACAAGGGTCTTTTTTAATTTTATATATATATATATAATTTACTGGTTTTTCAAACATTAAAAACAGACAATAATAGACAGAAAGACCCTTCAATAAAAATCTGTGCAATATGCAAAAAAATTAAAAATTAAACTAAAGGGGAGGATGACGATATACAAGGCCAACCTCTCCAACAAAGTATAATTACAATAATTACAAAAAGTAAATGTTACAAATCTGAAATTAATAATAAATAAATCATTAGTCCTTGTGGCTAGATAAAGTAAAAACTGGTACCCACATTTTGTTGAACTTTTCAGAATTCCCAGAAATGGTGTATCTAATTGTTTCCAGGTGTAACGTAGAAGTGAGTACGGATAGCCAGTCAGAAAAGAGGGGCGTAGTATTTTTCTTCCACAAAAGCAGGATAACTTTCTAAGCTACTGTTATACTATATTGAACAGGTAATCTTTGGACTGAGATACTCCAGTGAGTCTGACCAACACAAGGGTCTTGTTTATCCTGGTTTAAAAATTACTGGTTAAACATTTCCCTTAAAGTTATTGGGAATAACAAATTGTCAAAAAGGAATGAATCACAATCACTGCTGATCGTCAGGTACCTAGACGCTCTGAGAAGAGCATGCTATCAGTTGGACCATTCCTGAGATTCACACACTTGGCAGTCACTCAAAGGAACTATTCAACGTGGTAATCCTACGGGTAAAGTGTCAAACTCATCAAGCTTTCATTGCATCCTCTACCAGCTTAAGCTGTATTGTGCAACTTTTACCAAAGAAAGAGTGCTGACAGATGCGTCGTATTTTCAACTCCTGCCTCAGGGCGTCCCTCTCCCAAAGCGCTCAACCTTTTATCTTGCACTCACATTTGAAATAAAAGAGTAGGCAAAATCAGCAGTAAGTGATGAATATCGCTGCTTTCGGGTAAACAGAACAAAGTAGGTGTTTTTCTAAAGTAGGAGGATGAAATAAGGCAGGAACCAAAGGAGTTTAAGGCAGGTCTACAGTTGCACTCTTGCGTAATTATGTTGCTGTTTGTGATCTGCAGGATGGTATTGTTCTACACACCAGGATTCAGAAGCCCAAATACAGGCCAGTGGTGCCTAATGCATCACTTTATTACATAAACCTGAACCTTTTAAAAGCCACATCAGGACAAGTGCACCACTGGGTTTGAACATGAGTGACACTTTTGAAGTGAGGATCTGTCACAGCAGGCTTGTAGGATTGAAGTCTGCAGCATTAACCGAGATGAGAGCTCTAGCTTTGAATGAGGGGTTAATGCGAAAAACGATCAATGCTGATGGAGTTGGAGGGATCATAAACAAAGAAAGGGGTAACATGTAGCAGACGACATCAGATGACCTAGTAAAAAGAGAAGTAGAGAGAAGGACAAAAAGAGGAAAGTAAACAACAAAGAGCACAAGTCATGATGTGATGTCCACACAAAACAGTGTTAGTCACCACACTCACGACTCATGAATGCCCTGTATTGTGACGCTAAAGATGTGGGAAGCCATGGTGTGAACCTACTGAAAGCTCTCCTTTTCTAGAGGTTCTTTTTCTTTCTCTACTAGCTTTCGCTTTCTGTTGCTAAGTTCAGAAAACTAGTATTTTCCAAAGCTGTGCCAAGAGAAGAACACCTGCAGCAACCAAACCAAAACTATACAGCTTTGATAAGATAAACAAGTAGTTTTCACCTAACTTTTTGGTTGGTTGAGAGATCAGCCTGAATGCAACAATCACAATCGTGTCTTAAAGACCCCCTTTGGTGAAAATCAAGTTTTTAATGTTGTTTATATGTCAACATTATGTGGTGCTTTTAATATGCTTTAAGACAAGCCATGTGCAAATTCATAAGTCAACACCATTGTATAGTATTTTCTCCTTAAAACTGCAGTGAAAACAAGACAGTCTCAAAAACGTGGTTTGAAATCGCTGGTGTTTCTCACGTCACAAACTACCTTGTAACCAATCACATCAACATAAAGACGGGCTTTAGCATATCATTAACAGCAAACTAGCAGGGAAGTCTCAAGAGAAGCCAGGTTATCCCAGTATTTTCCCGTTCATATGAAAAAAATCGGGTACATTTAGCAACATAGCAGGTTAATTATGTATAGGATTTATATTACAATCTTATGATAAACTATATGCCACAGACATTCTAAGTTGGTCGAAGCATTTCTAAGGATACTGATTTGTAGAAGGCAGCTGTCTGACTCTGAGATGAAGAACGGGAACATGGTTTGTGTAACATTATTAGATGTTTGATAATGTAGTCAAGCAAAAGGCTAATCATATTAATTAGCTTTATTATCATGTGTCCGACGTTGTAGAGAGCGATACATAAAACTCTTTACCATTCTGATATATCTACTTGTATACGAGTTGACTGAGTGAATCTCTGAGCTGGTGTGATATGCATGCATGGATCCGCGTATATTTTGTTCACAGGAAAAACATGTCATTTTGGTGATCAAATATGAGTTTTAAGGGATACAATTATTGACTACAGGGAGACTTTAAAACAAATTAAACTCATGTAAACAAAGATCTCCTAGATTACAAGCTGACACATGGATATGGGAAGCTCCATTTAGGAGTCACTTGTCTTTACTTGTGACATTGTGAAAAACAATTTCAAATACTAAACACATTCTACTCCCTAAAGAGATACTCCACCCAAAAAAAAAAAAAAAAGAAAGAAAAGAAAATTCTGTCATCATTTACTCACCCTCATGTGATTCCAAACCAGTAAGACTTTCTTCTGTGGAACATAAAAGAAGATATTTTTAGAAATGTGTATTTTGTCCGTGCAATGGAAGTCAGTGGGCTCCAATGTAATTGCCTGGATCCCAACATTATTCAAAATATCTTCTTTTGTGTTCTACAGAAATGTGAATGAGTAGGGGACTTAACATGTGATCTGTCGAGCACATTAAAAACAAAAACGCACAATTAAGCATGTGCACATGCTCACACAAAGGCACAGCACGGCATAATCCACAAATGGATCAAAAATGCCATCTGCTCCATGCCTGTTCTTTGTAAATACATAATACTTGTTAAAATATCAGGGGCGATATAAAGAAGCTTAATATTTATCACAAATTAATATTTCACAGAAATGCATTCTATGCACCTGAATTTAAACATTTCAGAATGATTTGCTAATTAATCATTTATCAGTCCGACTCACTGAAAAGAACTCCAAAAAAAGCCCACAAACCCCAAATTATGGCCTTCAAGCAAGTTTTACTCTACACATAGTTAATATCTAGCAGATGAAAAAACAAAAACAGAGCAGAATAAAACAAGAACATTTTAATTTTCAAGCCTGGAAAACACAATTTGATATTTGCAGGCGTTCCATGACCATGGGAACGGTGTAAATAAATCATTAGGGTATAGATTAAATAATGATTTTAGCCATTATTTAACCCTCACCAGAGGAAGTAAAGCTGAAAGCTGGATGGAATTTCAGTTATAACTTGTATCTTACTGCTAGTCAGTCACATGAGATTCATTTGGGATTCTTAAGAGCATGAGTGAGCTGAAATACTCGAGCTGTCATCAAAAGCTCATTCTGTAGACTCACGCATGACACTAATAAGTTCGAACAACCTATCGCTGTCATCTAGCATCTCTAAATTCACATCTATGAATAGAGGCATTGTCTCAACTGATTGAAGAAGCACAGCAGATTACTCTTGCACAATTAATCAGTCCCAACTCCTGACAGAAAGAGTGAATCTTACGCTATTGCAATTGAAGGTGGTAAAAAAAACTGTTCTGCATCTGAAACAGACAGATGGAATTGAAATTGTGTGGCTGTTTTTTTAAAGGACACATTCAGTTTTACTTTGAATTTGCAAAAGAGGAAACTTTAAAAGTGATGCAGAAAACCTAAGTGGTTTAGAAATACAATAATATCTATATTTCTCGAATAGGGTCTCTGCGACATCCAAATCTATACTACTGAAAGCAGTATAACAAAAACCCAATCCAAAAATGAAAATTCTGTCATCATTTGAGGTACACAAAAGAAGATATTTTGACAAATCCTGAGTCAATTCAATGCTGTTTGGATCTGAACGTCTTCAAAATGTTATTTTGTGTTCCACAGAAAATAAAGAAAGTTGGACAGGCTTGGAACAACATGAGCGCATAATTAAATAGTTTTCATTTTTGGGTGAACTATCCCTTTGAGTCAACTTCAACCTAAGCGAATGTTAAGGTTCGGCTAAATGACAATTAAAATGTAATGTACGGGTACAAAACAAATCTCTAAACCAAGAGATCTTTTTAACATTGTTTCACGTAAGGGACTTAAAGATCTTTGAGAGAGGCTTGCACAATCTTCTAGAGCCCAGTGCCAGATACAGCCATCTTGATAATATAGTGTGTCGAAGAAAGATGAGCAGTGGTCAGAATAAGGCCAACATAATTGTTTTCCTAACTGGACATGCTCATGCAATAAGAGCGAGTGAGATAGAGAAATACCATATGAATGGCTTAATGCAGTGAGACAGATGGCGTTTGCTGGTTTTGCTTTACACTGGCCATTAGCCAAGGCGCGCACTCTCTCTCTGTCTCTCTGTCTCACAGACACAGACACACACAAAAAAATTAGTCTGCTGTTCCTCTCCACTGGTTTAATTAGTGTAAATGCATTACCACCACCTATCATTGGGTGAGAGGGTCCATTACCTGTGAGTGTCTGATAATGACAGTACAAATACACCAGGAGTGCATGATCAAAATCTTATATTATGGTTTGAGGGTTATTTTTGACACAGTAATATCTCAATATACAGTATTCAAAAGTTTGGGATCGGAAAGAGTTTTATAATATTTTTATGCTCAACAAGGGTGCATTTATTGTAAAATAAATGTGCAAAAATACAGTAAATAGCAATATTGTGCAATATTATTACAATTTAAATTCATTTTAATACATTTTAAAATGTCATTTATTCCTGTGATGGGATTTGAATTTCCATTTCCTATTATCAATGTTGAAAACAGTTGTGCTGCTTAATATTGTTTGATGAATAGAAAGGTCAAAAGAACAGCATTTTGTTAAAAATAGAGATATTTTGTAACATTATAAAAGACTTTACTGTCACCTTTGATCAATTTAATGTGTCCTTGTTGAACAAAGCATTAAAAGTACTAAAATTATTACTGACCCCAAACTTTTGAACAGTAGCGTAAATATCATTGCTTGAAACTCAAGCCTGAAATGTTTTCTGGAAATTCAAATATCATTACATTTAGGGATGCACCGAAATGAACATTTTGGCTGATACACATGCCCAATAATTCTTTATATTTGAAAGCCGATAACCGATATATTGGCCGATAAATCTAAATCCATATCCAAATTTGAGGGCCTGATTACAAAACAAAAGTTTCACCATTAAAAGTCATGTCCCAAGCACACAATTATAATAATTTTATCATTATAATTTTATGTAGCCTATATGACAGACTTGCGCTGCACATGGTGCACTTCACTGTATTTTCCTTTTTAATTGATTCCAATCAGCATGCATCTGAAGTGTCTCAGCTGAAGGAAATAATCCATTATTTATAGGCTTTAATATGTTAGCCAAATTTTCTTATCGGGCCGATAATGATAACATTAAAAATGAACATATAACGGCTGATGCCGATATATCGTGCATCCCTAATTACATTTTCATAACAAATGAATGATAACTGGGATAATTTCAAAATCAGCTTGAGATTCCAAACAGTAATGTATTATAAATATGACTGGATGAATCACGTATGTTTCCTGACAGTGACGGTGTGACTGCACAGTAGAAGAAGCATTGTATTGTCAGACAGAAAGGTCTCGGACTAAATCTAAAATATCTTAAACTGTGTTCCGAAGATGATCGGAGGTCTTACGGGCTTTGAACGACATGAGGGTGAGTCATTAATGACATAATTTTCATTTTTGGGTGAACTAACACTTTAATGAGCCACATTGTGATCCACGTTGCTCCCATTATAATCAGTGAACCCGGCGGCAGTGGCCTAAACTGTTTACATCGCTACAGTAAATAACAACAAATAGCATCTTAGTAAATATTGTAAAAGTGCAAATAGTAAATGATACTATTTAGATGAAGTGCAAATAGACATGATATGCTATTTGTACATGATAAATTATCTGAGCAATAGTTGGCAGAGTTAGTGAAAACAGTCTTTACCAACAACACTAAATAGCATCTTTGAATCTGATGACAACATCAACGTCATAAACAGGTATAACAGAATCTCTACCATTTCCCAGCTATAATGTCACAACACACAGCACACAGTGCAAAGAAATACAATCTAAAAACATCAAATGTCTATGGGTGATCCGTGTAAAAGCAATTCTGTGAATCATAATAAAGCTTTATCCAAAACAATTGCTTTAGTTTGAAAGGTTGAGTGAATGTGGGCAACACCCATAGTTTTCTATCTGTAATCCTGACAGAATATTCTGGCTACTCGCCTGAAACACAGCGAATCTCTTAAAGACCGAAAAGTGAGCTATTTTAAGGCAATCCTTTTCCTCCCATAGCCTCACTATGAGGGCCTCCAGTAGAAAGGTTCATTCCTTTCTGGGGAATGGCAAAAGACTCTATAAGCAACTGTGAAAAATGCAAACTACCCATTAGCTTATTCACCTTTAAGACCTCAAGCAGATAGTTTGCATTATTCACAAATGCTTGTGGAATCTTTTGTCATTGTGAGGACTGAATTAAAAAGGCAGGCTAAATGCAAAACTAACTTCACCTTAAGCAACAACTGCCTGATGCTATATATGGAAATATGGAAAATATGAAAAATATACACATACACTGTAATATTAGCCTGTGTGAAAAAGTTCTCAACTGTTTTTGCTTCAAGACCCAAATTTGACTGTATAATATATATTTATCCAACAAAAATGCTAAATTATTAACATTAAAATAAGCCTATTTATTTTGCTATCCTTAATGTGCATGTTATATGGTTACTAGTTGCATCTCATTTGCATTTACCATTGTTTCCTGCGGCCCTATCAGAACAGATCTACCACGATTTTTGTGTCACAAACCATCAGTTCAGAACCACTAGTCAAAAAGACCAACAACAATGAAACTAAATGCTACTATGCAATTGGCCATTACATTGCCATGTCAAAGCAAGTGAAGTGTTTCCTTGAGAAACATGATCATGAGATCATTGGGTTGGCAAGGCTAATCCATTGGCAATGTGCAGTTAAAGACAACATTTACTATGTGCTAGTGAATGTGCTTTCATTTGTGTTGGTGTGTGCGAGCCAAAGACAGAAAGACCGGAGAGGGAGACAGAGATGATATGCATGCTGAGCAGAATGACTAAGTGTACGCAGATTTGTGTCAATGAGGGTGCCTGTAACGCAAAGCCGTTTGTAAATGCAGGCATAGCCATGAAAAGCACTTGCCTCTGGGAAAATTTTACAGTCGCAGATCTAACTGTTAGAACATTTCATTAGCACTGCTCATTAAACACAGAGACTAGGTGAACTTTAGTCCTACTGAGCCTCCTCACAGGCTAATTATTCTCTTCCTATACACTGATGTCCTTAGGAAAGTGATGATGACTGGGCTTTTTTAGTTTCTGGGATGCGTCTCATTTTGCTCAGACAAGAAATCTGCTATCTGCTGAGATTACGACAAAGCGGAGATGCTAATGCAGATCAGGCCGACTCATGTGCACACTTTTCGCCTTCTCCGATTT